AGACGGATTGGAAAATTAACTCCCCCAACCACCCCAGGCTGACGTAAATGATCGGTCCCTTGTCTAATCTTGTAGAAATTTGCTAACACACATATAAAAACCAATCTGAATTGCTTGAATTGAACCATGGGACTACTGTTTATAGTGGGTCCGTGATAGAATCAATGATACTACTCCTTTTAGCTCCACGACTAAACGTTTGACCTCTCTAGTGTCAAACGACACAGCGGGTCATACAGTCACATGACTACTTTTGGTTTACAACATGGCTTCCTCTTCTGCCAGTGTGCAGGAGCATTTGTATAAAATTTTAATAATTGGCGAATTTGGAGTTGGTAAGTTTTTTTTCAAAGTTGGTAATTCTTATACATGACACTTCGTATGTGACAAGTCCTGTGCAAAAACGTGATGTGTACTAGTCGGTCACTGTGAGGTAGAGGTCGCCGATCATACAGTGAGTCGGGTCATGTTTTGTTCAGCCGTGATCGTGCGAATGCAAAACTACCGTAATATGCGGTGTCATCGAAAATATCACGGAAACAATGCCCATCGATTCTATCTTAGTGGAGAGATAACCTGAGAAAAGATTGTGATTATATTCGACTTTATAGTACGAGTAGTTAGAATAATGAGCTCTCTTTGTTTACAAGTCGTTGACAATTGAATGAATGGGGATTATTGTTCGCTACGTAGCAGTCGTTTCCGTAAATTATTTGGTTATTAGTATGCTGTTGTTGACGACGGTAACATAATTTATTATAGTGTCTTAAAACATAAACCTCTGTGAAATGTTAGAAATGAACTACTTTCATATTGAATGTCACCCAGTCACTGCCTACATTGCGTTTCCCAGATAATCATTTCATGTGTTTTTTCTTGAAGTTCCTTGACTGAAGTTGATTCGCATCATTGTAAAACATTGTTTAATGTAGTTCCCCACCATTAAAAAATATACTCAGAAATCCTCAAAATCCAGCAAGTGTCATTGGGTTACTGTAATGTTGGCAATTCTGAAATGGAAATATATGACCATTGAACAATGACCTCGGAAATTGATTAAAAATGCAGGTTTCGAGTTTTGTTTGGTGAGCTATGCTAAAAAAAAAAATGATACGTAGTGTTACAAGGGCTACATATGACTAACAAAAAATTGAATATTACCGGTAGTATAAGTTATCCATTGAATAATGTATTTACATGGAATCCTATGGAAATGCTTTTTAGATTATTTTGCATACATTTTCTTGAAAACACATCCTTCTTTCCTAATATGAATGACGTGCATGTATGTGAGTCATCACATATCAATTATTGAATGATTTACTGTGATCATTTTTGTCTATGCTTTAATGGTAGCAAACAACCATACCGTACCCTCCATAATTTTGAATTGACAATGTGTGGTTTATATTTTGATTGTCAACATTACTCAGATCCAAATGTGCTTGTTTTGTAATATTTGATGTATGTGAAAATTAAACACTAGAATTTACACTAGAATTTTTACACACTAGAATTTGTTACTGTAAATTACTTCATTTTAGCTGGAATTAATTTTCAGCGAAAAGACATATTACTGTAAAATCTGTATTAGAAGCCACGGCTTCTATTAGAATGGTACAAAGCAACAGAGGGGATGCAGCTTCTATCTACACATATGAGAAATGGTGAATTTTAGATTCTCAATTATTCAAAAAGAATGGGGGTGACTTATATTAGGGATGCGGCTTCTAATACAGATTTTACGGTAGTTGTATTGTATAAATTTTATTTTCACTGATTTTTGATGAGTTGAAATTAAAATTTGTGAAAAAAAAGTATTTTCATTGGGATTTTATTTTCAATAATTTATCCCTTCTGCGAAAATTGAGAAAATAAATTTCAAACTGGAAAATCAAGTACTACTTTACAATTGTTGGTTTTAACATTTACTGCACCTGTTTTAAAAATTGGTGACAGTGCATATCAGACAAGTTGCACTGCCAGGATTTGTTCTTGACTTGTGAATTAAAATTCTTGATTCCTGAATTGATAGCATTTACATGTTTATCATTTGTGGTCTTGCCCATTTTGCGTTACCTGACTTCTACAAACCGATAGGACAGATTTTGAATGTTCTAAACACACCGAGTACACTCATCCATGTTTCACTGCATGAAAAATCCCCTTAAATAGAACGGCCATGATCTTTCAACAAACTCAAATCAACCTCTGAAAATTTGCTCACTATTTGCCTAAGCAAAGAAAATGAACATGCAAATTATCTTTTGGCTATATCATAATATTTTCATATTTTTGGGGGTATTTTGAAAGTTGAAAAACTATGTCACGGTCATTTACCACCTCTTTTTCAGCTCATTTTCTCTAAAAATATCAGCTGGTAATCCACGTTTCTCAACTGTATTTTACAATTCTTCTAGCTGTTCCTTTTATACTCGCCCATACTCACTCGCTATCATTTAAAAACTGTTTTTAAATATACTGCCTAGTCTTTCTTGGGTTGCACGTCTATTATTCTTTTGGCTTTTTATATTTCTGTCCTACCTTCATGCACAAATAGAATTACATCACATCTGTCAGTAAATTGGGAATCTGGAATTACAGTATATTTCATAGTTTTTCTTCCTAATTTTCATCTTTTTTTGTTTTATCTTGCAGGCAAGGTATGTATATTGGATGTGTAGAACTGTGTCGGGTGATTCGATACTCAGATGAAACAAGATGGTGACACCTGGGGATTATTGGAAACATTTGTGACATAAGTCAACGTATACATGTTTTGTTTTTGTTTTTAGCTCCGCTGTCGACTTTGTCGAGCGGAGCTTATCATATGAGTGATTGTCCGGCGGCGTCCGTGTCAATGTTTTACTTTTTCGACTTCTTATTGAAAACTACAAGCCTGAATGCTTTTTGATACTTAGTGTATATGTACCTTGGGTAGACCTCTCTCAGATTTGTTCATTTCATGATCATATCTTCAATTCTCTAATTTTGGTGAATATTTTTGTCATTTTTGGTAAAAAGTGATACTTTCGACTTCTTGTTAAAAAACGCAAGTCCAATTGCTTTGATATTACACATATAGATACTACATGTGGATTTCTCTCAGATTTGTTCATTTTGTAATGATATCTTTAGTTCTCTAATTTTGGTGAATATTTTTGTAATTTTTGGTAAAGTTATATTTTCCACTTCTTGTTAAAAACCGCATGTCCAATTGCTTTGATATTACATATATAGGTACTACATGTGGACCTCTCTCAGATTTGTTCATTTTGTAATGATATCTTTAATTCTCTAATTTTGGTGAATATTTTTGTCATTTTTGGTAAAAAGTGATATTTTCGACTTCTTGTTAAAAACCACAACCTCTCTCAGATTTGTTCATTTTGTAATGATATCTTTAATTCTCTAATTTTGGTGAATATTTTTGTCATTTTTGGTAAAAAGTGATATTTTCGACTTCTTGTTAAAAACCGCAAGTCCAATTGCTTTGATATTACATATATAGGTACTACATGTGGACCACTCTCAAATTTTGTGGGCGAGTATAGGGATAGTTGGTACAAGATGATGCTTACAGTATGATGATTAACACACAACTGGTTTATTCAGAAAGACACTAAGCTATTAAATATACAGTACACAGGATGTAGTAATTAAAGTCAAACATGATCCAGATGTCAGGCGACAGTTTAGCTTTGTATTTGATCTAGCTATTAAACTTGGTATCTGGGTTGTTACGTAATCGTAACGTAGACATCATGTCTGTTCCCGACATTCTCCGGGCGGCCGAAAGTAAACAAATTAATTTCGACAGTAAGGGTTGATATTGCGTTGTGTAAATTATTAAAATGATGACGAATAACAATCGGTAAATTATAACGATAGATAACGATAAAATAATATACTTAGTCTAGTAAACAATACTAAGTGTATGTCAACATACTAAAAGTTCACGAAATAACAAAAATATTTCTAACGAATCACGATAACAAAATTCTAAGCTAATTGTTCACGGCATTCTACGGTATATATCGAGTAAAAATTCAAAGTCTTAATTGTCACATAAATCACTATGAAAGGTGTCCTGAATCTTCAACTTTGCAATAGCGGCAGCGTTGCGTTGAGGACGTTGTAAAACGAGTGGTACTTGTTTTCCACTAGTTTCGTTGTCGGCATTCCCGTCATCAGATTATTTTCAACAGCACCGAGTTCAAGCGGATAAAGTTTACATATTGGACGGCTGGTTTTTCCCGTTTTCGTTCGAATGTCCGCCGATCTCACAAGTCCATCATTTCTAACATGTAGTTTTTCAACTTTAGCTAGCGGCCAGAGTAACCGTTTTTGAGTGTCACTGTGGACTAACACGATATCTCCGATTTTAATTCTATTGCTTGTCACATTGTTTTTGTTATTCTGGTGACGTTCTCGTAGCGCTAGAATATATTCCGTTAACCATCTGCGATGGAATCTTTGGTGTAATTCGGGTAGATATTTTGCCCGTTTATTGGCTTCACTCGGTGTGGTGATCTCGAAGTCTGCGTCTGAGTTGTCAACGAGTGTATGAGGTAACGTTGTTAACAATCTACCGTTAATTAGATGTAATGGTGTCAATGGCTGAGGATCATTTATGTCGGTGGAAATGTGCGTAAGAGGACGATCATTTAGTACTGCCTCTATTTCACACACAAGTGTTACCAGTTCATTCATATTCACAAATGCACATCCCAACACTTTACAAAGACAGTTCTTTGTCATCCCAATGAGTCTTTCATAAAACCCACCAAAGTTAGGCGCGCGTTTGGGTATGAAGTTCCATGTTATTCCCTTCCCGGCAAGGAAGGATTTAATCTCGTTCTCATTGAATAGATTATTGAGTTCGTTATTAGCGGCACAGAATTTACTTTGATTGTCCGATATTATGATATGCGGATACGATCTTCTGGCGGCGAATCGGCGGAGGGCCCGTAAAAACGCGGCTGGTGTCAAGTTTGGTACCACCTCCAGATGGACCGCACGTGTAGAAGCACAAGTAAATAAGCAGATGTAGGCCTTCGTTTTGGTCCCATCATACCGTTTTATGTGTAATTCTCCTGTGTAATCCAAGCCGATTACACGAAAGGGCGGTGCTTGAGTCACCCTGTTGCTCGGTAGGGGCAGAGCTAGTGGTACTTCATAGGATTTACCGCCAAGTCTTTTACATGTTATACATTTATATAAGACAGACTTCACGGTTGATCGACATTTCGGTATCCAATACCGTTGCCTTAGTAATGTAACTGTAGATTCAACTCCTGAGTGTAGAGTCTGCGCATGCGTCTGAGTAATGCTTAGTTCGCTGAACTTGTGGTGCGCTGGCAACAGAATAGGGAATTTTGCATCATAATCCACAGGCGCGTTATGAATTCGTCCTCCGCATCGAATAATATTCTCGTCGTCTAGATACAGCTTTATTTGTCGCGCTAACGGGAAATTAGATTGTGATTTGAGAGCAGATTTCTCGTTGCAGTATCTCTGGTTTTGAACGGAATAAATCCACATAGTTTCGGCATGACACAGTTCTTGGGTAGTAATAGATCCTACGTCGCGTGTGGTTTTGTCACGTTTCAAGTTTGATATAAACCTAGAGACAAGTGTGGTAACTCGTAGGAGTTTTGATAGTGACTGAAAGCGATCAATGTCGATAACTTTGCTGATGCCACATGGTTTAGCTACGCAGATCTCAGTATTCAACTTGTCACAGGGTTTCAGTTCATCAACGTTCTCTAGTTCATCACGGTGACAATTTGTATTCATGTCTTTCACTGGTTCAAACTCATCTGTGATATTTAATTTGAGTACAGCATTTTCTGACGCGTCGAATAGATCACATTTTGGCCATTTGCCGCCTTTAAGCCAATGTGGTCCTTCCCACCAAAGTTTAGAACGATTAAGATCATTGGTAGTTATTCCGCGAGTCAGTAAGTTAGCTGGGTTTTCTGCCGTAGGACAGTATTTGATGTCGTCAAACGGACCGGCGCGTATTTCGCGTACTCTGTTTTCAACGAAAACAGGCAGTGTTTTGTGACTTCTGATCCAGTGAATAGTGATTTGACTGTCTGACCACAGTACGCATTTGTTGATTTTGACATTTGTTAATGCCTTTAGCACAAAATCGGCTAAACGGGTTGCGATCGTTGCAGCGACTAGTTCTAAATGTGGTAATGTCATTGGTCTAACAGGATTCAAACGTGATTTCGCTATAACAATAGACGTATGGTTTCCATTCTTTAGATATACGACAGCTCCATGGGCTGTTGTTTTGCTGGCGTCCGCGAACACATGAAGTTCATACTCGTCGGTTTCAGTATTGCTGTCAGTGAAAAATATCCGATTCACGGTCGTTCCTTTCACGCTGTCAAGATTCTGGCGGATATTTCCCCATTCTTCGGTTAGGTCGGCGGAAATTGGTGTGTCCCAAAATAGACCCGCTTTCCATAGTTTTTGAATGAAAGATTTCGCTTTCACGTGGACTGGAGCTAAATATCCCAATGGATCAAACAAACGTGATGTGTAACGCACAATCTCGCGTTTTGTATGGAGATTGTCAGAATTTGTTTGCCCAATGTCCGTATTAGGATAGTGTATTGTGTCTTGATGGGTGTTCCATCGTAATCCAAGTATGTTGACATTACTTTTGGATTCAGCAGTTTTGTCTATTTCTGACCGGTTACGCAACATGGGGTCATTTGTAGCCCATGATCTTAAATTAAGTCCGGCATCGCGCATCATTTCTGTAGATCGTTCGTAGTACTTTGTAGCGTCAACGGTGTTTTTCACTCCGGTTAATACATTATCCACGTAGATATTTGATTTTAGATCCTTAGAAATAGTACATTCTTGAGATTCTAGATGAGTTTTAATTACTGCATTGAGCATAAACGGAGAACTCGTGGAACCGAATAAAACGACTTTGAAGCGATATATGTCCATCTCTCCGTGGGGGTCCGAAGGGTCCTTCAACCAGAAGAATTTAGTGAATTCTTGATCATTTTTGGCAAGTTTCACATTCAGAAATGTTTTTTCGATATCGCTTGAAAGTCCGATATTATGTGTACGGAATCGAAGCAGCATTTTGACTAGGTCATTATTGATTGACGGTCCGGTTTCCAGGCATTCATTTAAACTCGGTTGGTCGCGGTATTTCGCACTGCAGTTATATACTACTCTAATTGGTGTAGTAGACGATTGCTTTTCTACGGGATGATGTGGGATATAATGTCCACGTTTTGGGTCATCATCGACGATTTTTTCAATGAAGTCTCGATTTAATTGTTCTTGGATAATAGAGTTGTAAACTTCACGCATTTCTGGAGTTAAACGTTGAGCCATTGATCTGGTTCTGGATTTGGCAAGCGTGTAGTTTGTTGGAAGGGGTGCATGACTTTCCTTCCAAGGTAATTCAGCGATGTACTTGTTGCCTTCTCGCTTGATTTTCGTGTCACGGTATTGTTCAAATGTTTGTTTAACATTTGTTTCCTCGTCGCCTTTGTTCGATATGCCGATGGACTCTTAGTCCCAATACTTGGTCACTAACTGTTCTTCCGATTCGGTATTGGTTAGAATTTTCATCACTGTTGTATTCATCACAGAAATAGTATCTAGTTTAGATGGTCCGGACAACAAGTAACCCAGTTTAGAAGCGACGGCGGTAGGTCCATTTCCCCTGACGACGCGATCTTCTACTATGGACCAATAGTAATCGGCCCCTATTAACAGATCGATTTCCATCTCTTCCGATTTTACTTGTGGAGCAAGACTTAGTCCGTGTAAGTAAACATGCTTCTGTACGGTTGCTTCGATGTAGTTATGTACCGGAGAACTAATTTTCGGTACAATAAGTGAACGTAAAGTAATGTTGCTAGAATTGGTCTTCAGCATTAGATCTACAGATTTGATCGCACGCACTCCGGTGTTATCTTTGCCAAAAGTACCTAAGCTTAGGTGTTCGATTTCACAGTCCGCGTTTTCAATCCCTAAACGTCTAGCTGTCGACTCAGTAATGAATGTTCGCTGAGCGCCTTCGTCAAACATAATATTACATTTTGTAGTCACGCGTTTACGGGAGATATTGATGTAATGTCCTATATCATTATTTATGCATGACCTTTGACATCACACGATATGTTACTATAGTGATGACTCTGTAGCATTATGGGATACCTAAACGGCATGGCCGCCATCAGTTGTCAATAAATATACGTCTATCCAAAACAGAGCTTCTCGAGTTGATTTATCAATACAGACGTTACAAATGGCGACGAGGACGGGATGGACGGAATAAGGAAGTAATCGACCCACCATTGGCAACTTGAGTGAGTACCTGTGCAACGATTCGCATCAATTATTTGATGAAGTTGGACGCTGTCAGTTTGAGTTCACATTTACCTCCAATAGACACTACGTCACTGTACGCCATTGTCCTTACCGCAACCGATCGTATCAACGCTGACAATATGGGCTATCATCTCCGAATTTCTCTGA